AAATGGGGGGGGGGGTGGTTTTAGATTTAGGCGGGTTAAAAATGGGTTGGGTCTCTACCCGCCCATATTCCATGTTGTTCAAAAATGGGTTGGATGTTAAATAGGTGGGTTAAATATGGGTTAACCCATATATATAAAATGTAATATTTTTTCAAGTACATTTATAATTTTTTTTTGCTTAGAATATTTAGTGAAATATATAAGCTTAATTAGAATAATATATACTCTTCTTCATTAAATGTATTCAAATTTGACTATCATATATTCATATTATAAACTTAAGTTACTCTTCCAAAAAATATGAGTATTCATTTTAGGAAGAAAACGTTGAAATATGTGCTCTATAACTAAATAAAATGCTATTTTTTGGATGAAAAAGAAAGTACTTTTTCTACAATANGGGGGTGTAGGGGGTGGGTTGGTGGGATGAAAAATAGAGTGGGAAAGATTGAAAAAAAGTTTTGGAAAATGTTTTCCCTTCTCTTGATAAGGAAAATATTTTTCTCCAATTTCTTGAAGAAAATACTTTCCAAATATTTAAGCCAACCAACCATGGAAAAATTTAAAAATATTTTTCGAAAAATATTTCCCTTCATACTGTATAGTTTTAAGTTAAAGTGATGCATTAAAAGTGGGAAAAAACATTCTCTTTCTTAACACGTACTCTTCAAGAACAAATGAAAAACTATACAAATTTATTTTTACTTCTTAAACTATTTTTGGTATTCGAGTATGCATTCTAGAAAGAACAAGGATGCTAAACAAGGAGTAGTAAATAGTACAGTCAACTATAGTGAGAAGAAACACACTAAGGAAAAGGAATTGGAATATCTTGATAGCATTTTAAGTTTAAAAAATGATATCATACATTTTGAGTAAGCAAAAGTTGAAGATAACCCACAAGGCTAACCTATATTTTACCCATGAATATCCATATTTTCACAGATTGAATATGGGTTGAAGCTCAAATTTTATCCAACATAAATATCACTCATTCAACCACTAAAATATGGATGGATTGGACGAGTTGACAAAATATGAGCTCATTTTCTAGCACTAATCCGAACTATCTAAATCTTGCTTCTCACAAAGAGTTTGATAAGAAGAAATAGAGAAAAAAAAATAGAATAGCCAAAATTTAATGTGTACATATTGTGTGAGAAATATAGTTCCGCTCACATTAATACCACTAGACTATGTCTATGTGTGTGACCTTGATAATAGAAACTAGACAATTTAAAAGAAAAGAGCTTGTGATGCACAACCATATGATACAAACATGAAATGCAATGATGTAATTTTCATTAGAATTTTATTGGCGTGTTTTTTGATTTTATATTGGTAATAATTGCTTACAAGAAAGTGTAGTGCATTTGAATTTACATGTTTTTATTTTTAAATTTGAAGTTGTTACGGATTAGAAATATACATTATTATTATTATTATTATTATTATTATTATTATTATTATTATTATTATTATTATTATTATTATTATTATTATTATTATTATTATTATTATTATTATTATTATTATTATTATTATTATTATTATTATTATTATTATTATTATTATCACATGCTAGATAGATTTGTTACATTATAGAAGCAAATAATAGACATGGATTCACTTATAATTGAGCTGTTTATAGATATAAAATCTCACTTGTATCATAGTAATTTTTATCACGGTAGTATAATAGGTAGCTTGATAATTAATTAGTTCAAATCACAAATCGTAGTTGTTTTAAAAAAAGAAGACTTGCACAGGATTGACAAAAAAATATATTAAAAGATTAAAAATAGGAGTTGTTCCGTGTGATATGTCAATAGCTTTTTTTTTTTTTTGGTCGAATGTCAATAGCTTTTTTATTTCTTCAAAATGTTGACTTTTGCCTTTAATATTTGATGCATTAAATAAATTGTACTGATTTTAGAGCCTTCTTCTTTACTTGTGAGTTAGACGTGCTTACATTTATAAGAAAAGAAGAAAGCTTAAGTTTCAAGCACAAGCACAAGCACAAGCACACCTTTAGTTCAATAATTCAATCAGGTAACAACTATTCTGATAAGAAGCAATCACCATAAGTCCATAACTTTAGTAGTATTTATAGTCCTATCACCTCTCATTGATTGAAGGGGTATTTTTTACTTCCTGGAAACTTATAGTATAAAAGTTATGTTCACCTTGGTATATGTGATGATCCGAAAGGTCATCACTTTTTTTAGAAATAAATTATGTGTTTTAAAGCCTTAAAACCTCTTTTTATCTTATCTCGATTTACGTGCATGGTGCAGACCTATATCCGGAAAGCCTTTTATATGAAAATATGAGAAATAAAAATTTATAGAGTTAATATTTGATTATGGTTGACTTTGATCGACATTTGAGCAAATGGACCCGGATCTGTGTTCCAACGATCTCGAGAGGTCCGCAGTAAAATATGGAACTTAGGCGTATGCCCGAAAATGAATTCCGAGGTCCCAAGCTTTAGAAATCAATTTTTGAAAGAAATTATTTTGCTGAATTATCTATGAAATAAAGAAAAGAATTAATGCTTGAAACCATTGGTATCGGAACCGTATTCTGGTTTCGGAGCCCGGTACAAACTTGTTATAGTATTTAAAGGATAACTGTGACATTTGGTGAAAAATGGAGTTTATTTGACGTGATTTGGACTTCCGGTTGAAGAGTTATGAACTTTAAGTGTTCTTGATAAAAATGATGAGTTTTGAGGCTTAATTCATGGTTTTACATGTTATTTTCATGATTTGATTACACGAGTAAGTCTGTATGATGTTTTTAGGTTAATGTGCATGTTTGGTTTGGGGCCTCAAGTGCTCGAGTGAGTTTTTGAATAGGCCATGGAGTGGAATTTAACTTAGGATGTTGCAGATTTTTAACTGATATGTTGCAGGCCTGCAGGCTTCGTATTTGCTCGCAAATACGACCAATCCATCGCAAATGCGAGAGAAGGCCTGGGCAGGGCTGATCGCAAATGCGATCCTTCCTTTGCAAATGCGAAGTGGCCCAGCAATTCCCTTTGTTGCAAATGCGACTCCCTCATCGCAATCGAGTTCGCAAATGCGAACTTTTGTCGCAAATGCGAGAATAGCAGACTTCTGAAGGGTTCGCAATTGCGAACCCTGGTCGCAATTGCGACATCTGCGACCTGCAGATTTATAACTTAGCCGAAAATCTTTCATTTTTCAAACCCTTTCAAAACCAAAACACTCTTGGGCGATTTTTCAAAGACAAGTACTCTTCCAAATCGATTGTAAGTCATTTCTAACTTGTTCTCATCCATCTTAAACGTCTTTTCTCATAATTTCAACTCAAAATCAAAGGTTTTCATGGGAGAAATTGAGTGTTTTGGGTAGAACCTAGGTTTTTCAAATTTTGGGAAATTTGGACCTCGATTTGAGGTCTGATTTCAAAAAAATTATATATTTGGGTTCGTGGGGGAATGAGTGATCAGGTTTTGGTTCGAACCTCAGGTTTTGACCATGTGGGCCTGGGGACGATTTTTGACTTTTTGGGAAAAACTTTAGAAAACTTATTTTCATGCATTGGAATTGATTCATTTAGCATTTATTGATATAGTTAAGTAACTTGTGGCTAGATACAAGTGAATTGGTGGTGGAATCAAGAGTTAAAGCGATAGTTGAGACTTGAATTGTGTTTGTGGCTTCGAGGTAAGTGTTTGGTCTAACCTTAGCTTGAGGGATTAAGAGTTGTGTCCTATTTGCTATGTGTTATTTGTTGAGTACGACGTATAGGCATGGTGACGAGTATCTATACGTTGGAGTGAAGCATGCCCGTGAGTCTTACATTATGATTATTATGACTCCATTTGTATCGTTCATGCCTTTTGTGATGATTTCTATTGTTGAGTAAAGTTTGTAGAAGTAATAGTGGTATTGAATATTGACGAGCGTTGGCTCAGGTTGAATAACGAATTGTGAAAGTATAATTGGCAATTGAACCTTATAGAGCATTGACTCAAATTCTGAAGTAAGTTGTGAAGTAAATATGAAAAAGAGAGAGGATTATTATATTGATTCCCTTGCCAAGATGTTATTGCTTTTAATGCTATCTCCCTTGCCGGGATGTTTATGCCTTTGATATTGTTCCCTTGCCGGGATTT